AAGAACTGGTGTTTTTCTCATTTCAGGCTTCAAGTATTTGTTAAAGCCTTCACTAACAGGCAAGCAGCATGCTGTTAATTCCTTTCTCCATATTTTGCTTCTGATTTTCTGATCTCAGAAGGCTTGGAAAGGGGTTCTGCAGAAGTAATAATACGTTTAATATATCTAGCACCACACAAAGTAATTAACATAGACCAATTAGTCAACACAACACCATTATGAGGAGGATATCAGCCTCCCCGTTTTACAGATGGAGGAACTGAAATGACTAGCCCAAGTTCCCAAAATGAACCCATAACAGAACTGGGAATGGAACCAAGGAGTGTCCTGTCTCCCAAGTCACAGGTGCTCAGCACCGCTCAGTATTTGGCTGTCTAGTATTAGCTCTGTTATTTTTATTTTACTGTGTTTTGATTTTAGTTCACATTTTTTTCCCCAAATAGGTCAGCATCATTGCAATGAAAATATAATTGCTTGACTCCCCTCTCTTGCTTTAGCACTAGACCACATTGATGTATTCATCACATCATTGTCAGACTTGGTAGAGTAGCCTATTGACACATTAGGTGAGTAGGTTGGCTGAGTGCTGATGCATGTTGCTTTTTACCCGCCACCAGTATTTCAGAAAGTGAAGGACACCATCGAAAGAGTATGTGAGCCGCTGATGTCTCTGAGTCAGGATTTCAGGATCAAATTGCTGGGAACCTTTAAGAGCTTTCTGCAGGATGGTGATGTTATATCAGATGTTAAAACTGTGGTATGTGCTCTTTAAATTTAATTTGACAAGTTCACATTAAGCCAAGAAACACATTGATTGTGCATTTGTGAAATGAATGCATGCCAAGTGCCACTTAAATAGAGATTAGAGACACATTCATCACTCCAACTGCTTGGCCACTACAGTACTCTGTAACCCACTACAGATATAACAGAGCTATGGGCTAGATCAGCGGTCCCCAACTTTTGAAGGTGACCCCCCCCTCAACCCTGTCTGTGCCCCCCGGAGCCTAGGCTGGGAGCAGGGCCATGGCTTGGGGGGGAACATGGACAGGGGTAAGGGGGCTGAGGCTGAGACTACAATTGTGGTGTGTCTCGGGCCAGGAGCAGGACCAATGCTGGGAGCGGGAGCAGACCCACAGCCAGGCTGTGGTGGGGGCCAGCAGCTGGGCTGCTCCCGGCCTTGCCCCCAGCCTTGGCCCTGGGCTAGGAACGGAGCTGCGGTCAGTGGCTGAGGCTGGGGGCTGGCGCAGGGCTGGGAGCAGAGCCACTCTGAGGCTGGGGATGGGAGCAGGGATGGGGTCGGGAGCTGGGGACACGTCTCGGGGCGGGACTGGAGCAGACCTGGGGGTGGGGAGGGGCTGGGTGATGCTCCCTCCCCACCTCTGTGGAGGCTGGCCTGGGCCCCACTGCACCCTCCTGGACGATTCTTCATACCCCCGTAAGGGGGCGCTCCCCACACTTTGAGGACTTCTGGGCTAGATCATGGTGCTACATGGAAAATCCCACACAGAGGTTAGGAGGCTGGGAGGAAAATATCTAAGCTGATGGGTGTGTCTACACTACAGCTGCTGTAGTGTCATAGTATAGACACTTCCTATATTGATGGAAGGGGGTTTTCTGGTAATGTAGTTATTTAATACACCTATCTGAGAGGTGGTGACTAGGTCAATGGAAAAATTCTTAGCTGCACCTACACTGGGGGTTAAGTTAATTTAACCACCGCGCTCAGGGAGCAAAAATTTTCACAGCCCTGAGCGACATAGCGAAGTTGATCTAATTTTGAAGTGTAGACCAGGCTGTTAGACAGTTGTGAGCTACCAAAAGGAAGGGTTTAAAATATAGAGCCTGATTTGCATTTGCACTCAGACTCCTTTTACACCACGTTGGCAGTGTAAATATGCCTTAAAGTTGATGTAAATGAAAGGAACGTAAAGGGGCCTTAATGTCAATGAGAATCCGGGTCAAAAATACTTTAACCATTGCACTGACTGTGGGACTGGATGGTTCAGGAAATTAGTAATGGGATTTAGAGTCACAGTTTTGCACCCTGCCTGATGGCTAACGGCTGAGAGTTGTTCCCATTTGTCTGGTGGTCCCAGTACAGTGCTAAGGGGACAGGTATCTATGTCATACATGTTTGCACACACACACACAAAATGCCAATCTTCTAGGGGAAGGAACTAAACTTTGACTGACAGCCGTCCCTACCCCCCCCCACCCCTTCTTTTATTCATTTTACCACCAGCGGGGGGTCAACCTAAGCACTCAATGCTGGACTCGTTGGATGAAATTCTCCGGCCTCAGGCGGAAAATTTGCTTCATGATTTAGGAGTTTTCTGTGAGGATCAGAGAGAAGAATCCCCTTCATTATTGCAACCGGTACACTTCCTGTGTTCTTCTTTAGAAGGTACGGAGGCTTCAATCAATGCAGAGACAGTTCCAAAGTTGCTTGAAAAACTTATGGCTTAGGGAAAGCATGAACAATTGTCCTTATCCATGAAGAACTAGGTTTTCCACATAGAGTTCTGTAGTTTTATGTGTTGGATCTAAATAAGCATATACCCATCTGCTCATCTGAGCTTCCTGGGTTGATTTTTTTCAGTGGGATGTAGAATTTCTATTGGCCTTGTGTTTTCTCAAAATCAGGACTATCTTGTATTGAGAACTTGAGAAAACCCAACCTGAAATGTCTCTTCTACTGATTCTTTCAGCAACTGATATTGCTGTTCAGCCAGCACTGTCTATATTCAAGTAGTACACAAATCTGGCTGAGTTTCTGGGATATGCTCAGAAGCACATGCAAGATATTCCAATCCATCTTGCAAGAAGTCCAGCCTATATGCTATCATGGAATCTTACTAGAAGTATCAAGTTCTATAGTGAGCAGTGTTCACCTTATCCTTATCCCAGGAAACTAGGCTTGGAAGCAGCTGACTTTGCACTACTGTTACATCATGTCAGGAAAGTACAAACCCAGCATAATGAGGGAGTGGAAGGGTCAGCAGGATATTGACCATCAGAGCAAAATTGTAGAATCAGAGAAATGTTGGGCAGAAAAGGACCTCAAAGGGTAATCTAGCCCACCTCATTGCGCTGAGGCAGGATTAAGTATACCTAGACTATGCATGACAGATGTTCATCTAACCAGTTCTTAAAAACCTCCAGTGACAGAGATTCCACAACCTCCCTGGGTAACCTCTTCCAGTGCTTAACTTAAAATGCCAGGACCTATTTGATGTTTTCTGCTTCATACCCCTGGAGTTATTACCCCTGCCGATGGCTAGTGGCCTATGTAAAATGTGTTTGGTGGGTCTCAGTCCAGTTCCTAGTGGACAGGAATACACATCACTAACACCACCATTTAATTATAACCAGACGTGAATGGACATTGGAGATTGAATTCCTCTCTCGTATCAAGTAGTGGTCCCTTCAGATCAGGGCTCATAGAATCATAGAATATCAGGGTTGGAAGGGACCTCAGGAGGTCATCTAGTCCAACCCCCTGCTCAAAGCAGGACCTATCCCCAACTAAATCATCCCAGCCAGGGCTTTGTCAAGCCTGACCTTAAAAACCTCTAAGGAAGGAGATTCCACCAGCTCCTTAGGTAACCCATTCCAGTGCTTCACCACCCGCTTAGTGAAAAACTTTTTCCTAATATCCAACCTAAACCTCCCCCACTGCAACTTGAGACTCTTTGTTCTGTCATCTGCCACCACTGAGAACAGTCTAGATCCATCCTCTTTGGAACCCCCTTTCAGGTAGGTGGAAGCAGCTATCAAATCCCCCCTCATTCTTCTCTTCTGCAGACTAAATAATCCCTGTTCCCCCAGGCTCTCCTCGTAAGTCATGTGCTCCAGCCCCCTAATCATTTTTGTTGTCCTCCGCTGGACTCTTTCCAATTTTTCCACATCCTTCTTGTAGTGTGTAGGGCTGAGGCGCATCAGTGGGGACTGGGGAGATGTGCACAGAAGCTTGCACATTGCTGCCATTTGCACTCTACCTGTTCGAGAAACAAAGGGTGTTCTAAAGACCTGCTCTCTAGGCCGCATGCTGAGGACGCTGGTTCCTCCAGGGCTCCCGAGCCCACCTAGGGGAAAGTCCCCGGACCCCGGGCAGAGAGTGCCGCTTGCTCCGCAGCGTGCAGTGACCCGCCTCGCCGGCTCACGTTCTGCCCGCCAAGAAGCCCCCCGGGCTGAGCGGGTGGGTGCGGGATGGGCTGCCTGTCACTCCCACAGGAACGCAGGTAGGATTCTCAGCCTCAAGGGCTGATAATCTGGCATTTTTCACCTGCACTGAACTATTGAGAAAAGAAGGTATTTTGCATTTTTAAAAGCAGGAATCACATTAATGAATTATTACAATACACCCAGAACTTTCAACAGCTCCACTCTAAAGCACACCACACCGAGCATTTTTCTTTTTCTGACTCTCCCTGAGGTTCTGATTTAATTTTCACAGATCTGGACTTTAGAGTGCTGCCCCTGCTTGTGACCTGCATAGAGAAGAACATGGTGGCCAAGCAGCTTGCGCTGGTAAGATCCTCCCACACTCGTATCTTTGAATATTTACTAGTTAACACTGCAAGAAAGCTGATTGATACATAGAATCATAGAATATCAGGGTTGGAAGGGACCTCAGGAGGTCATCTAGTCCAACCCCCTGCTCAAAGCAGGACCAATCCCCAACTAAATCATCCCAGCCAGGGCTTTGTCAAGCCGGGCCTTAAAAACCTCCAAGGAAGGAGACTCCACCACCTCCCTAGGTAACGCATTCCAGTGCTTCACCACCCTCCTAGTGAAATAGTGTTTCCTAATATCCAACCTAGACCTCCCCCACTGCAACTTGAGACCATTGCTCCTTGTTCTGTCTGATACAGCCCAGGACAGCATCCAGCAGGATGTTTGGCAGGCATGGTACATCTGAGATTCACCAAGGTGCTATATGAGCTCAAGATGCTTCCTTTATAGTCAACACAAACTGCAGAGCAACCATGCCGAGCCATTTTGACCTATGTCCTCACAGCTGCCTCTTGTGTGGATCAATATGTAGGAGTGGATTTTTTAGCAGGAGGTTGAACACCTGTAGGAGGTGAATGTTTTAGTAAGAAAAAGGCCCCATTGTTCATTTTGTGGGGCCAGATTTTAAAAAAGCTGGGCACCCAGCAGATCACATGTGTCACACTGGTGGACGGATTTTTCCATGAGCTCAGCCCTCAAGGTGCTGACCCCTTCGAAAATGGGAACTGAGCTCTACAAAGTCAGGCCCTTAATCTCCAGTTTATCCTTGCAGGAAGCCATGGACTAAGATGTGGACAGAGACTGTGATGGGTCAGAATCCACCAAACCATTGCCTCCACCTCCACTAAAATAGATTCATAGATTCATAGATTCTAGGACTGGAAGGGACCTCGAGAGGTCATCGAGTCCAGTCCCCTGCCCGCAATACTTCAGTTGATTTCTTCCCTACCCCCATGCGCACCCCCAGTGAGAGCCAGCAGTGTTTGCCAAGCATGTTAGCCAAGCCAGAGTTATAGGACACCCAGTCACTTCCATTTCTCCACCTCCAAACACACACCCATTCTTTTTCTAGGTGTATACCATGACATGACTCAAAGTGGCTTGGGATGCACTATGAATTCAGGCATTTCCTGTTCCCTAGATCTTAAAACAGTATCAGGTGGCTAGAAGGCGGTGATGATCTGTGTATCCGTCTGACTAATTCAGGGCTGCATTAGGTCTCCAATAACAGATCTCCTCAAAGATCTCCTCCCTCAATATTCCCAGTACAGGTTATAGACTGTTGCGAGTTGTAGCCTCTCCCACAGTATTTCAGGCATAAGGAAAAGACTTAATCTACCCACTTTGGAATCTGTCTCCATGTATCTTCTGCTAGAGATGGTTCCTTACATCCGTCACTACTCTATTGCCGACATATCTGCAGTAAAAAGTGATGGACTGAGAACATTCTGGATTTATGCTCCTCTCTGCATCTGTAGTGAGCCTGTTACTTAAAGAAACAAGAGTAAATACCTAGTCTGCTCAAGAATAGCACACAGCAGAGTACAAAAGTGTTGACTGTCCCTTGCTTGGTTAGAAAATGTTTATCAATGCTGTCTGTGATACTATCTTTCACACTAGGGCTGCTAGCTAGCTTTTATTTATTGTTCTTTGGGATTAATTTAGTGCTGGCGAAAGGCATCAGATAAGCAGTCCTAGAGGCTGAAACTTTTAATTCTGTTCTGTGAATGGTAATACCTTAGAAATATCAAAGATCCAGGTAGATACACTGACAGATAAATAGTACAGTGGCAGTACAACCTTCCACACGCTCCAGTCTCACCATTATTCTGGTCACTGATACAGAGCTTGGTAAGCTGGACTCAAGCAAATTATATGCATTTATGGCTAAATGTAAATGTATGCATCTAGGAACCAAGAAAATAGGTTTCAGAGCAGCAGCCGTGTTAGTCTGAATCCGCAAAAAGCACAGGAGTACTTGTGGCACCTTAGAGACTAACAAATTTATTAGAGCATAAGCTTTCGTGGACTACAGCCCACTTCTTCGGAGGCCAGACTTACAGAAAATAGGCCAGACTTACAGGATGGGGGACTCTATCTCGGGAAGCAGTGACTCTGAAAAAGATTTGGGGGTCATGGTGGATAATCAGCTGAACATGAACTCCCAGTGCGATGCTGTGGCCAAAAGGGCTAAAGCAATCCTGGGATGCATAAACAGGGGAATCTTGAGTAGGAGCAGAGAGGTTATTTTATCTCTGTATTTGGCACTGGTGTGAGCTGCTGGAATACCGTGTCCAGTTCTGGTGGCTACAATTCAAGGATGTTGATAAATTGGAGAGAGTTCAGAGAAAACCCACATGAAAGGGGGGAGGGATAGCTCAGTGGTTTGAGCATTGGCCTGCTAAGCCTAGGGTTGTGAGTTCAATCCTTGAGGGGTTCATTTAGGGATCTGGAGCAAAAATCTGTCTGGGGATTGGTCCTGCTTTGAGCAGGGGGTTGGACTAGATGACCTCCTGAGATCCCTTCCAACCTTGATATTCTATGAATGATTAAAAGATGAGAAGACATGCCTTATAGTGATAGACTCAAGGAGCTCCATCAATTTAACATAATAAAGAAAAGGTTAAAGGGTGACTTGATTATAATCTACAAGTATCTACATGGGGAACAAATATTTAATAAGGTCTTTTCAATCTACCAGAGAAAGGTATAACATGATCCAGTGGCTGAAAGTTGAAACTAGACAAATTCAGACTGGAAAGAGAGAAGTAGCTCAGTGGTTTGAGCATTGGCCTCCTAAACTTAGTGTTGTGAGTTCAATCCTTGAGGGGGCCATTTAGGGCACTGGGGTAAAAATCTGTTTGGGGATTGGTCCTGCTTTGAGCAGGGGGTTGGACTAGATGACTCCCTTCCAGCCCTGATATTCTATGAAGGCATAAAGTTTTAACAGTGAGAATAATAACCCATTGGAACAACTTACCAAGAGTCATGATGGATTCTCCCTCACTCACAATTTTAAAATCAAGATTGGATGTTTTTCTAAAAGATCAGCTCTAGGAATTATTTGTGGGAAGTTCTATGACCTGTGTTACACAGGAGGTCAAACTAGATGATCACAGTGGTCCCTTCTGGGCTTAGAACCTATGAATCATGCTTTAAACCTGACTTGGACGTATCACTTTAGGAAAAATAGCCCATTCTGTCTTTGGCTTTTCTGCTGACACTGCCAACAAGGGGACCAATCAGTGCCAGGTGATGGTGCTATTTGTGGTGTGGATTATGAGCTCATTAGGAACTGGACTATTTCCACCAGCTCACTATTGAAGGAGCCTAAGTGAATTAGATGCCTAAAACACATTGGAAATGAATGGGATTTGGGCACCTTACTCCCTTAAGTTTATCATACTAAAAGAAGTAAATCCTACAGTCTTTTCTCAGATAAACCTCCTACTGAAATGAATGTAAGGAGTGCAGCATTTCCCCAGGTTTGACAAAAGGAAAAATAATTTTTTCCTAGTGATTCCAATCTAATAAGGTTATGCATTAAATGACACCTGACCTCACATGCGTTAACTAAAGGAATTCTCACATGCTTGTCATGAAACCCAATATCCTAGCGAATGGTGCCCTACAGATCTGATAGATTTTCAAAAGCAACTAGTGATTTTGGTTGCTCAGCCTGAAACACCTTAAATGGTCCCAATTTTCAGAAAGCGCTGAGCACTCGCCCTCTGAAAATCAGAGGCTCTCGTGATTTTGAGTGCCCAGTTTTAAATCCCTTAATCACTTTTGAAAACTGTGGCCCATTGCTCTCTAAAGATCAATATAACTGCTTCTGCTCTCCTCCTCTCCCTGCATATTTGATACAGTTACAGACTCCAAACCAGCATGGTTTAGGGCAGTAAACGGATGTCCCAGCTTATGAACAAACATTTCATTTGCCTTTTCAAGTCATTTTTACTGTCTTCCCTTACCCTTTGTTTCATGGTTCCTTTTTTTTGTGTGTGTGCAAAGATGGATGGCATCATGGAGTGGATTCTTTCCAGTGACAAAGAAAGAATCTTCAGCCTGGCCTCTTCTCTGCCAGAAGAAGAAAAGGACGTAACTGCAGAAATGATGAATACCTGCGGATTGATTCCACAGACAGACAGACCCTCTCTCACCTACCTGTGGAATGAGGAAGCCCAATCAAACCTAACTGCATTGTATGCAGCCTTATATGCTTTGTGGATTCTAAGCGAGTGATACCAGTTTAAGTAGGCGGGTGTAAATATAAAAAATGTGGATCAACAAAGAGCTACAAATCATCACCCTAAAGCAGGGTTGGGCAAATTATGGCCCATGGGCCTCATCCGGTCCGTCAGACCATTTAATCCGGCCCTCAGCTCCCGCTGGGGAGCGGGGTCTGGGGCTTGCCCTGCTCCCGCCCTCCAGCCAGGGAGCAAGGTTGGGTGCTTTCACTACTCTGCTGCCCCATCTGCAGGCGCCGCCCCCGCAACTCCCATTGGCAACGGTTCCCGGCCAATGGGAGCTGCAGGGGTGGCACTTGCGGATGGGGCAGCGCACAAAGCCGCTTGGCTGCGCCTCGCAGCTGGAGGTGGGACATGCTTCTGGGAGCTGCTTGCTGTAAGCATCCGGAGCCTGCATTCCTGAAGCCCACTGCCCCCCGCATCCCAATCCCTGGATCCCCCTCCTGTCCTCCGAACCCCTTGATCCCAGCCCAGGGCCCCCTGTGTATCCCAAGCCCCTCATCCCCAGACAGAGCCCTCACCCGCCACCGTCCCCATCCCTGATCCCCCTCCTGCCCTCCGAACCCATTGGTCCCCGCCGGGACCATCGTCCTGCACCCCAAACCCCTCATCCCCTGCCCCATCCCAGAGCCCACACCCCCAGCCGGAGCCCTCACACCCCTCCCCTGTACCCCAACCCCCTGCCCCAGTCCTGATCCCCCTCCCGTCCCTCCAACCCCCTCGGTCCCAGCCTGGAGCCCTATCCTGCACCGTCAAACCCCTCATC